TGCGCCGAGAGCGTATTGACTGCGATAAATGTATTTCCGCCGCGAAAGCTAAGTATTCAATTACATGTGACGGGGGGTTTTTTTTTTTTGTTTTCATCGGACTTTTAGTACGAGCCAATTTAACAGGCGCTGTCTCGGCGCGGTTTGTTGGGCGAACGCGCGGGGTGATTGTCTCGAGCGTGTCTGTCGGAAGTGCAACCGCATTCGCACATAAGAAAGACGGTTGAATTTACCGGCTCGATACGCCGCACTAATTCATATAAGCAGCGTCGGTATACTATGATACAACATCGGCTCGGGGAAAAAAATCTCCAGTGACACGCGAAATATCGCTGTCGATGTTAATTAGATTGAATTTATTTTATGCACCATTTGTGCGCGACGAAAGAGCGGAGACACGGGTGTCCGATTCGCTCGCGACACGCACGGGAGGAGGGAGACCCGCTTTGCATTTTTGCGATCTCCGAAACCGCGAAATCGACAATCGTTTCCGGTACAGCGTTCCGGAATTTGCGCGGGATAAACCGCGACACGCCTGGCAATGTCCGCGCGCGACACGTCAGCGCGCAAATCACGCGATGAATTCGATTATCGGCACGCGGTTGCGCAGGAGGTGGCAGGTGCAGAATCAGGAATGCGCGGCATCCAACGGGAAGGGTAATGATTTTTTATAGCGCTCCTTCGAAACCGCTTTAACGGTTCTTCGGACAAGTGAAGCTGCGCGAATTTTTGCGCTCACGCGACGCGTCCGTCGTGCGCGTGTTAGTAGAGTGGTGTGGTGGTAGTGGTGCGTCGTCGATGGCGCATCGAAGCCGGCGAATACAGGGTGTATCTGAATTCCGCCGACGAACTCACAGGATAGCTTCATTCTACGTATAAAAAATAATAGGTACAAGTTTTAGTAAATATATTCCCTCAAACGCTTATTTTCTGAGATGCAGCTGCCGCAATCTCAGTTTGAAAAATATATTTTATTCGTTGAATCGTGTTTTATAAATAAATAACTAGACACGTACTGCTGTAAAAGTTGGTCAAAATGTCTGCATCCCTTATCAGTGTACAGTTTGTGCACTGCAAGAAGAATTTGGTAACAAATTACTAAACATTTATATAAATAGTTTCGATTATAATTTTAAAGTCTTGGATGAAATTTTTTTTTTTTTTTTTTTCAATTTCTTTCCCTCGGATGAATAAAAAATGAAATAAAAACGAAATTTTTTTTCTTTTTTCCATGGATTTTTTCGGTTTCTTTCCAAACAAAAATTGAAAAAAGGTTTTTTAAATTATGGTTTTAATTAAATCATTTACCTGCATTAACCAAATCATTTAGTTACATGATATATATCATTTAGTTACATAGTATAAAACTGTTTAATTAAATATTTGATAATTGTTATCAAATTCTTCACAATTCTTACACTCTTCGAGTGTAAAGACGCACGTACATTCTTGAATATTACTTCATTATTGTCATCGTCGTACCATTCACAATGAATGATTCTTCAATTAATATTGAAATATCAAGACTGATAAATATTATCTTTAAAAACAAGTAAAAAAGTATTGTATTAGCATTCTTAACCCGCTTTATCGCAATACATTTTCTTTATCGTTGTCACCTTCCGAACTCTATATCTCAAAAAACCAAGCTTTCGCGGACACACGTTGATTAAGACCTGTTTATTTATTTTTCAACATGGAATCTGCCCTGTTGTGAGTTCGTCGGTAAAGTTCAGATACACCCTATATACGTACGAGGACCGAACATCGCGAACGAGCGCGCGCACTTTCATTGTCGACGGAACTTTCGTCGGTCATCTCGAGTTCCGCCGCCGCGGTGAGAAAACGAACGCGGCTCATTTTTGCGCGTGTCGCTTATCGGCGTGAGGCTACACAGCATCCGCGGAATCCGTCTCGGGAAACATTTAATTTTCACGGCGAAATGACTATGATGAAGCCGTCAAATTCTCCCTCCTCCGTGTTCAGGACTATTATTCATCCACTTGTGCCGTATATTAAGAAATCCACGTGAAACACGCGCGCGCGCGCGCTTTGGAACGCGCAAATTGATCTTACATGATAATTACATGATACCACGAGTGAATCTTCCTATTAGAGGATCGTCTAGATCCTCGCGCGTTTCGGATGTGACGGTGATCAATTACGCGGGAAAAACCCGCAAATGGTGTGTAATTGCGCGTAATTCTTTTAAACGTGCGCACTATCAAAAGATATCTGATCCGGATTCATGAAAGGCCGTGGTACAATTGATATGTACATAAATTTCCCGCATAGACGATCTCGCGGCAGCGTTTATCGCGAATCGACCGAATCGAATAACGTTAAATAATTACGCATTCCGCTGCAAATTGGCGAATTAATATCTCGCTGTTTTCGAATCAGTGTAACTCCCATCTCACTTTCAGAGACCTCCCCCGAGTTTTTACATATTTCAACACCGTGCTCGCGATATGTATTCCGCAAAAACAATTGATTTAAATTAATTTTATAAGAACTTTCGTGTAACATAACTTAATTTTTTTTTTTTTTTTACATGAATACCATCCACGATATTGTTACAAATTATTCCACTGCGGTCTCTCGTGAATGCACGTCTCATTAGTTAGCGGAACAAAATGAGCAGAATCAATTCTAATTAATATGCTTATTTGTTGCTAAAAATTTGTCAAGGAAAAAAAATTTGTTGCTCTGTTATTTTTTAATAATATTTCGCTGAAGGACAACTAAGTTAGCAGAACAATGTATACGACGAGAAGCGACACGTACAACGTCAAGATCGGAGCTGGCAACGAAATTTGACATTACAATAATATGAAAATTTATTGCTAATTAGTTACAAGATATGCTAGCTTCGATTTTATCGCTTGCAAAATAAATTTAAACGACAGCGGCAAACTTCTCACAGCGTGCAAAGTTACAAGAGTGGACCCCCGAGAAGTAATTAGTTGCTTGCTTAAATTTGGTACTAGGATATCGTCTGAATTGGTTGCTTTCGAAACATCCACATTCCGCATCCGTTGCTAGCGAAATAAGTTTAAAGAACAACGGGGAACCTTTGCACGCTGAAAGATTCTCCGTGTTGTATCGCCGATGCANACGGCGAACGAAGCGCAGGGGGGGGGGGGGAGTGCTTTCTTCAGATGAAACACGAAACCAACTCGGATTCCACGGAGAGTTCCGTTAACGTTAATCAGTAACTTTCGCCATCATATGTATCGCGACCTACCCGCCCCGTCCAACGCGACTATAACGCGCGCCGTATAGTTCGAATATATTTATTTGCCGGAGCCATGCTCTCGGAAACAGCTCTCGATATAGGTCTGGTCTAGGTGCGCACAATGCAGTCCCGGCCGACAACGGCGGCCCGCAAAAGGATTTATTGCACGTGCGAACTTTTCAACAGCGCCGACGGTTATAATTTCAGCTCGCATTGCCAAGCATGTAAATTGGCGCGCCGGCTAAGTGACTCTCTCTCTCTCTCTTTCTACTCGGAAAAGTATTGTTTGCTGGAATTCAGATTTGCATAATGACCAGGCGAATGATGTAGACGCGAGTCGGATATACCGGGTGAGCCCGTAGGAATGCGCATCGGGAGAATAAAACGGAATACCGGCCAGTAATACGCCGTGCCCGGCCATTACACGAACACGTGTGCATCATGGTGATTCCTCTCCCTCTCTCTCTCTCTTTCCCTCTCCCTCTTTTTCTCTCTCTTTCTCTCGTACGGTTATTGTAACGCAGACCGATAAGCCTGGCTGGTGCAGAGAATCGACTGCGATAAACTTTTATCGCGTGATCGCGAGCGACCGGAGGCTTTTATTGTGCAATGAAGGCTTATCGCTCGAAAATGGCTTCATTAAGCCTCTCAGGATCAACGCGAACTTTTTACACGTGTCGTACGCGCGAGTATTACGTCACGGACAGCGGATTAACTATCAGCGATGATAACCGTTCGATCGATCGACTTTTATCGAGGCAGGGGGAGAGAGAGAGAGAGCTCTGAGAAACGTCTGAGAAATAGGCGCTCGTACCGTCTTTCATATAGCTGTCGACTAATACGAACTACGTGTCGAAAGTGCGCGAGATGAAAAACGCGCCCATTCGGCGTGGAAGAAGCTTTCATTTTCACTTGGCATTGAATCAATTGATCCGCAAAATTGATTTTCTTAAGAATTTTTTCAATTGTTAACAACACATTTACCGATCCACACATGTGAAATTAATAAAAAATTGACCGTACCGAAGTTAAGATGATTAAAGTCAAAGTTAGTATTATTTACATGTATCACAGGTACGAGAAGACAACTCGTTCCGATGTCACGTTTTTAATTCTAGAAATTAAACTGCTCTTACCGCCTTAATAAAAAATGGAAGAGACGATAAAAGAAGTTTGTAGAAATATTATAAAAAATTGGAAGATCATTGACCGTATAATTTCCAGAAATCGATATATAAAATATAGAAATTTTTGATGAATCGTTGAAATGTAAGACGACTAACTTATCAATATTAAAGATTTGACAATATTATGCGCACTATATTTCCTTTTATGTCTCTTGGCTAGGCATTTCTTTAAAGATAAAATGGTTAAATAACTATAAAGATCTAATAACCATGTGTAAAAATACGAAAAAACGCAGAAAAGGGTGGAAAAATCTGACATCACGATTATTTCTCTAATAACGTGCATTCGTACGTATCTATCGGTATGATATATTCACAAACATATTCCTAACACGGGCAGTTTCAGCCAAAAGCATTATACAATATATCAAAGCACAAAAAATGATTATCTCTTAACGAGTTTTTATACATTACGTATTTTGGTGAATATTCTTGCTACAATGTTAAAGGTGTGTGTCACAAATCGTTTTTTAATCATTCAAATTTGTCGAGTTTCTATTATATTAACCATCACTTTTTAACAATATTGTCACGGGCAATATTGAACGAACGGCTGTCTCATTGCGCTGTTTCAGATCAACAGCGATCCGAACCTTCTGCCGAACGTGACGCTGCTGATGCGATGGAACGACACGAGGGGAGAGACCGTCGAAGCTACCAGGGCAATGATCGACATGATCTGTGACGGGGTCGTGGCCTTCTTCGGACCGGAAGGCTCCTGCTACGTCGAGGCCATAGTTTCTCAGTCCCGCAACATACCTATGATCAGTTACGTAAGTGAACCGCAAATTTCGACTATTTTCCTCGCGTAGCTCGAGCTCAGGTCTCGACCGTTTCGCGGAGCGCTCGCCAATTCGAGACTCCGCGATTCCGCGCGTGTATCGTCAATGAACCCGCGTCCGTCTCGTTAATAAACGCGCTATTGTAGTCGCGATTATTAATAGCGCGTATCAGCGCGATACACACACGGTATCGCGATAGCGGACTACACGCGCGAACGCATTATCTCATCCTATGACGCTGCACGTTTTACTCTCAGCTCTCGGAATGTCGTTCAAATTTCAACTCCCCGAATGCTCTTTATACTTTTATACTTTTACGTATTTTCACATTCGTGGTGTCTCGAGAGCTAAACTACTCGGCTAATATCGGGATATTCGGTACTGTTGCATCTCTCTTGTTCTCTTTCGAGAAGGAAAGAGATTTGAGTATCGCGGCAATGTTAAAATGTCCGATCGGATGACTCGTCTCCCGAGAATACATGAACTCAATGACTCGCTCAATCGACGACCGAGGCACTCCTCGCGAGCAACTCGTCTCGATAAGGGCTCAGACGCGATGAAAGGAATAAGAGACAAAGAATTAAATATTAAGGAATTAGGAATAAGCTATAATTTTCGAAAAGATAATAAAAAGGATTAGAGAATCAGATATGAAAATGTTTTCAAACGAGATCACTACTTTTACTATTTTCTAATGAATCTCTACTGGCATCATCGATACTTTTATCATTTTCCTGATAATTATCGATTCATTCAAACTGATTTTCATTTATATGTTGATGATCATTAGACATTTTGAAGGTTAACTTGCAATCAATTAATTAAGCCCTACAAGCTATAAGGAATCAATCAATTAATTAAGCCCTACAAGTTATAAGGAATAAAATTTCGACAGAGTTCCCGGTTTTACATGGAGAAAATTTATTTTGCTGTCATAGCAAGGCCAGCGTTATTACTGCATATTCGTTGCGATAATGATAAAATTTAATTGGCATAACCAAATTAGCGAATTATTCATAATTAATACGTCGAGTGCCGCGCTAATTTCACACGACTTTCCACTTATGCCGCGTCGGCCACCGATGGTCCGCGTTACCGTATTTATTATATCTTATGATATTTATAAAACTACAAAAATCATTATTATAAAGAGAAAGAGCCAACGTAAAATATACGCGCTATGCGGCCTGAACGGAAAGTCCAATGTGGGCCACCGATGACTCAAGCGACACTCAACATGTTGAAACAGAAACAATTTTGTTGCCAGGATAGAAAATATTCTGCTGAGTGAATTTGTTCTCAGGACACGTTAATTTGCTGTTAGAACAAAATAGTGCTTTCCCACATTTGCCAGTTTGTCCTTATAGTAAAAGAATTTGTAGATTCAGCAAAATAATCCAGCGAGTGGCAATTAATATTTTTAACAAGCCATTTTGCCGTCCACATGGTAACTGACAGATTTTACGGCATAAAATTTGCTGTGCCATCAAATTATTAGTCCACGTGTAGTACTCCCTATTTTCTTTTATTATAGACTGAAGCAGCAGTGATCGTCCAAATGTCGAAACTTAATTCTTTATTCTCACCTCCCTATATTTAATTCTTCGTTTCTTATTCTCTTTTCGTTGCGTTTGAGCCCTAACAATTATTCATCGCGATGAATCGCGTCTCTTCGATGGAAATGTGCATTTGGATTGTTACGTTTTTTAATCGTCCGGGATTCCTCCCGATTATCTCTCTCTTTCTTTCTCTCTCTTTTCCTTGCTCTCGCTCTCGCGCGTACGTAATTACGCGCGAGCCGGGGAGGAAAACCGCGTGGCGTTAACTCGCGAGTTAACGACGTTATTATCGACGAAGTGAGGAGATCGTTGAAACCTCATAGCCGCGTCGTTATCGGGCGGTTTCGTGCGGACTCGAGCGGAGAAACCGGCTGAAAACGGTTTCCGCCGGCGTGAGAACGCCGGGGTTGTAGGGCACTGACGGCGAAGCCGAGCCGTGGAGGAGGCGCGCCCGCGAGGAGCGGAGGTGCTTAACGAAAGTGGAGGTGGCGGCGGAGGTGCGCCCGACAAATTGAACACCCGCGGCGTGACAATATAATTACGGGCCGTGCTCTGCCGGGGCGTGCTGCATGCGTGCGTGCGTGTGCTGGTACGATATGCGTGCGACGTCACGACGGAGCACGCAACGCGGTCCCCGGATTGCGCCGCGATACGATCTCTCGCCGTTTTTCGTCGGCTTGAGATTTTCGCGGATGAACCGTGGCGGTACTCGCGACTCGAATTTCGAGGCAGAATTTCCGTTATCCGCGTGCTGACGGGTGTCGCGCAAATACGAAAGGCATCTTCTCGGGCGCGATCAGGATTGTTTTATTTATGAAATTGGTACGCGTATTATTTTTATGGATGAAATCAATGCACCAGTTGTTGCATTAGCGAGGAAGCCGATGGGTTTAAATATGTATCGCCTTTGTTAGTGCTGTATTTTCAGTGACACGTCAAGGGGGGGCTAACTTGTAAATTTAGTATTTATCAAAATTATGTTCTTATACATTTATTTAATTGCCTAAATATTAATAAATGTTAATTTGAAATGAAGCTGAGGTAGATATTTATATACGTAATGTCACAAATAAAATGTTATCTTTTATTTTCCTTATTAATGCTATTTTTGTTTTCTTATTAAAATCTTATTTTTACATATAATTTAGAATATGTTAAAAATAGAATACTAATCTTAAGAAACACGTATAAAAAATGTTAACTTTAATTACAAATATCTCAGTTCTCGAATAGTCAATCTTTTTCTAATTGCACGAACAATGGGTCAGGTAATATTCCGATGTATACGCAAGTTTCATCGAATTCTTATCAATCTTATAAAAACTCACTTCACTTTACAGCCTCTTTTAAAGTGGAGTAACTTTTGATTCAGGCTCTTAATTACTGTCATTTACTTTTGATGACACTTTCAAATGCATTGTAGATTAATTTGTAATTTTTTTCATCACTTTTTCATTATTACGAGCAATACATCCTTATTAACTGGATGCTGCTTGGTACGCCGCGTGATTGTGTCGTTATCTCGCGAGCTTGCGGCGGAAAAGCTGATTTGTAGTAACACATCACGCTCATGACACATCAATCGGTGACCGCACATTTATCGTAGTGAGATACGCTTTTAGCTAAAGCGAAAGCTTGCATTGTTCTCCTTTCGGCATGTGACGTTTTATCGCGAAGAAATTTGTTTATACAGACGCAGGTGTAAAGTGCAATCGACCTTCGCACGTTTCTAGGTATCAATTATATGAGAGAAAAACATGTTACATGTATATTAATACCGTTCAAATGCCGTCGTTTACTCTTTCTATAAGCATGTTTTAAGCATGAGAGGCGAAACGATGTAAATTAGAATATCTCAGAGCGAAATGAGCGTCGTCGAGTTAGAACGTTTCCTTACCGAGTGCACGGTGGCCTTCATGTATTAAACTTATATAACTTTAATTTATACGGGTAGTACGGGTGAGAGTTTAATCTCTAGACTGCCGGAAACCCCTGCATATATATATATATATATATATTCAGAGTGGCAGCTTAATTTTAGGCAGTCGATTGAGATTGCGATATGTATGATTACGTATCCTGAAACATGCCTGTCCGGACGAGAAAAGATGCGGCAACTCGCGAATTAACCGATATAGTAACCTCTCGCATGCATATATATATATATATATATATATATATATATATATATATAATACTCAATTGTTGTTAAAAAAATTGATATTCCTTGCGAACCTCCATCTCTTTCGCAAAATAACCATCTTCTCACGGGATCTTTCCTTCCCCTATCGAACGACTCGCGTAGCGAAGTGTGTTTGAAACAATCTGTTCGTATTATATCGTCCTTTAATTTCCGGATGCCATTACGCAAATGAGAGATGAGATCATCCCGGCATAATTGTCGCAACAAACATATTCCGACGAAATGACCGTCGTCGGCTCTACTCGCGCTCTCGTGCTCACGCGCAGCGTCGGCATTGCCGTCTCTAATTTATTCCGCGAAAAAAGAGAATTCGCGCAAGCCGGAAAGTCAAGAAACCCCCGTGCACGTTGAGCCGAAGAAATTAGCCTCGGGTCTTCAGCGATGCGCGTCCACGCTAGCCACAAAGTCACGAATCCGGCTACTTAACAACATTCCGGCAATGCCAATCGTATGGTCGCCACCACCTGCAGTCCGTGCGCACATACACACGTATACATTCTGACGCACGCGTACGCACTCGCGCGCGCGAACGACACGACGATTTTGCTTTGACGTGCCGCTTCTAACAACTTCGCGTTTCCTCTTTCCTTTCTTGTCGCGCGCGGCGATTAAAAGTTATTGGTGCCTGGGCATGAATATATTTAAAACAATCTCGCGCACTTCCACACGAGATAGATCTGACGCGACCGCTCCCGAGTTTTGTCGAACGATTTGCAATAGTTAGTAAGCACGTAATTGAAAGTGACATTTCAACGTCGACTGTCCGCAATTGTTATTTGCAATAGATTTATGGCATTATTATAGATAGCCTGAAACATACTCGATAACAAGTTTTGCGTTGTATCAGTAGTTTTCGGGCCGTTGTTTTGGCTGCATCGATTAATTGCAAATGGAAGAATCGCACTATAATTGTTAAATGTGACAAACGTAAATTTAGATATACAAAGAAAAAGATTTCCTTGGGTAATACAATTTTTTAATTGAAACAAGTTTATCTCTTGGAACGGAGCAAATAAACGAATATTCGATTCAACAGGCAAGATTGTTTGTGCGTGGTTTCTCAAATGATATTTTTCTTTTATTTTCATCAAAATATTACCATTGTCACAGGTAACGAATTATTTGAAAGAAGTAACACTATGTTGGAAAAATGTTAAAGAACTTTTTACTTCAGTGGAACAATATTTAATATATAATAAGATAAATTTTTTTCTCCTATTGAAAATCGA